CGGTGGCTTAGGGATATGAATTTATTTTCTCGTGTTAAAACAGTATTTTACTCAAAAACCGAGCAACTGGAACAATTTCTTAGAGAAAAACATGCAAACATGCAGTACACTTTTTTCAACCCATATCTCAACAACATCGTACATGAATGTGACTAAACTCCAGACACAACACACAAATAACAGTCATTTGTATAGAAGTGGCGGATGTTCCAGCCAAAACCTCCTCTCAATTTTTAGTATAGCCTCAAAGATTTATATGTATTTCCTAGGCGAAAAAGTTAACTGGAAGAAAAGTTACGTAAAAAACAGCAGAACGTGCTCCGATTTTCTACAGAAAAATATTGTAAAATAGCAAGCATCAAATCTGTCATAAATAGAAGTTAAGAGTAAAACCACTGACTCGTCAGTCAGGCGCTTCCTACGTTTCTAAGAAAAGCACAAAGCTAGGAAAGGAAACATCTTGTAAATGTTACTAAATCCTATAGAGGAAGACTCAAAGAAATCTTTACAAGGTATGATATGTAAATTAAAATAAGGTCAAATAACCTGTGAAATGGCGAACATATAACAAGACGTGAGAGGAAACAGAACTAAATGCCAACCACTTGCTAGAGAAATTACAGTACAGTATGTACTAAACGAAACATGAACACTGACTAAAAATATAAAGAAAACTCTTTTATTTAGTTTGTTTCAGACAACGTGTCAAATTGAAAACATAAAACTAGAAAGCTTAACAACTGTTACAGCCATGACATCAACAAGAAAAGTTGACCGCAGTCTAAGGGCGTGATCCATTGAACCAAAAGTTTCAGGGCTGTCTGAGGTTTGAAAGTTTCTTCGGTGGCGAGTGGATTGCAACCCGTACAGACGGTCTCGTTCCATTCCACTCACAGTCAAAATGGCGGATGTTGCATATTAGAGTTAGATGACCATTTCGACTTTATCAACTGATGATATTGTGCGAGCTGTTTCATGCGTAGAAATCTAACCCGTACGACAAGTCATTTTGAGTAGCCTGTTCCCAGATATTTGCCGGCTGAGGTCAAACACCACTTTCGAATGACGAAAAGAACATTCAAAATTCTCTCAGGAATAAACCACTTTTAACAGTCAAAGCATACACCTACCTTGCGAAGCAGCTGCCAACCTGTCGTAAGTGCACATGAATGTACGAGTAACACTGATAAATCCCCTGTTAACAATCCACAGAATCTGTACTGATCAGTGTTTAACTCCATGTCGAACACAGAAAGGATATCGCCAGAATGGGTCGGTCAAATGAAATGCTCAATTTTCCATCAGACCGGGCCAACCGAGAAAAGTGGTCCACCTCGAAAGCTGGATCGGCTTTTTCGAAACTTTTCTGCTTGGACCAAATTGATCCATTCAGTTTTAGAGCGAGATTTTCAAAAATTTTGTTTGAACGGATCGTGCCCTAGATTTTAAAATCTAGGCCGGCATCTAGATCGCTCCACCTTTTACTCTCGCCGTGAGAAAATTGTAAACGTAATCTAAGAAATCATTTGGCTTGTTCCTACGAAAACTACTAAATGCAATTAAGCCCAAAGACAAAGAGAAAAAAGGGGAATAAAAGAGCAAGCAAACTTTGGTAAATTAAAATTCAAGTCAGGCAATGACCAAAAAACACCAGCTAAATGCGAAATTTAGAGGTGTTTTCAAGCCCAGACGTAAAAAGTGTTCAATACAAAACTTAGCGAATTTAACGCCCTTACGAAATTTTGTTAGTCAATAAAAGAGGCTAGAGAAATTGGAAGCATTCTTGTCAGTGAGTTCGACGTTCTTCTGAGCAAAGTTTTCATCCATATCCGGAAGCAAAATGACAGTGATTACAAACTGGCTACCCGAGCGGCTTTCAGCGAAGTGAAATCGTCTGCTTTAACTATATAATGAACATCTTTTTAACCGAGCTTGGTCGGTCTGTATGGGAGAATCTTGACCTCGGTCATGCGTACAGAGCGAACGCAGTGAGCTCTGTACTCACGACGTCGGTCAATATTTTTCCATACAAATCTCCCATTCGGTAATAAGAACGAAATAATAAACAGAACAATAGCGGGATCAGTGGCTGCTACCATGGCGTTAACTCAGTGCCACGCTTTTATTTACTTATTTTTCCTTTTTTAAAAGAACTTTCGTTAGGATGAATTACATGCAAGGTAGGTGCAACTTTTGACAGTATCTGGCCTCATCAGTCGTAGGCTCTTATGTCTCCAGATCTCTTGTTATTTTGTGCAATTTCTGGCGATCTTCAGTTCCTGGCAAAGACTGTGATAAATGTAAAAAGAGCTTGTGATGTCTACAAACAGATCGGTTGCTTTCCAAAGGCGAGAAAAGAAAGTTATGATTGCACTCTCTTAAGCTCAAAAAATGATGTTTAAAATTTCCACTAATAACTCCTCAATACGCTTTTTGATTCTCGCAGTACTCACACATTATGTCAAAGGAAACATCCAAGAGAAGAAAAATGACTTAAGAAATGCGTTAAGTTGCTACACTGAAGGGATTGAAGTGAAGTGCAAAGATGACAACTGGAACTTCAAGCTTTACTTGAAGAGGTCGCTGATTCATCAGGGACTAGGTGAGTTTAGACTGCATATTTGTTTTCCGTTGTAGCTTAGTGAGTT